CCTAGGACCCTATATGCTTAGCAAGTCCACCCAGGAACCTGAATTCCTCAGGACGCCACACTTCCCAACAAGTGTGCCGAGAGCATCACTTGCTATCTTGGGGGGAGCCAGAGAACCAAGTGGCCCCTAGGAGGCCGGGGCCTCCCTGTGGCTGCTGATGCCCTCTTGTGGCCAGATTGGGGATTCGCAAGAAGGAAGTGGCAGTGGCAGGAGAGAGTTAAGATCGAATTTCTTCAGGAAGACAATAATAACACTTACCATTATAAAATAATATAACAATATCGTTATTTATTAGCTAACATTTCTTCTTACTATTCTGTGCACAGCACTCTTTAAGTGCTCTACAAGTATGTATTAACTTTTTTAATTCTCACAATAATGCTATTATTATCTCTGTTTTGACCATGAGGAAACTGAGCACATGAGAGGTTAAGGTAGTTCTAAGATGACACAGGAAACCAGAATTCCACCTACAAGAAGTCTGGCTCTGGCTCGGCGCCTGTGGTTCAGGTGGCTAAGGCGCCAGCCACATACACCTAAGGTGGTGGGTTCGAATCCAGCCTGGCCCACCAAACAACAATGATGGCTGCAACCAAAAATAGCCAGGCATTGTGGCTGCGCCTGTGGTCCCAGCTACTTGGGAGGCGGAGGCAAGAGACTCGCTTAAGCCCGGAGTTGGAGGTTGCTGTGAGCTGAGATGCCACAGCACTCTACCCAGGGGGCAGCTTGAGGCTCTGTCTCAAAAAAAAAAAGAAGCAGTCTGGCTCTGGAGGCCGGGCACAGTGGCTCCTGTCTGTAATCCCAGCACTCTGAGAGGCCGAGGTGGGTGGACTGCTTGAGGTCAGGAGTTTGAGACCAGCCTGAGCAAGAGCAAGACCCTCCTCTCTACTAAAAATGGAAAAAAACTAGCCAGGTGTTGTGGCAGTTGCCTGTAGTTCCAGCTACTTACAGAGCTGAGGCAAGAGGATTGCTCAAGCCCAGGAGTTTGGAGTTGCTGTGAGCTATAATGATGCTACAGCACTCTACCCAGGGCAACAGAGTGAGACTCTGTCTTAAAAAAAAGAAAAAGAGGGGCAGTGCCTGTAGCTCAAAGGAGGAGAGCACCGGCCCCACATGCTGGAGGCTGTGGGTTCAAGCCCAGCCCTGGCTAAAAACTGCAAATAAATAAAAATAAATAAGAAAAAAAGAAAAAGAAGGCAGTGCCTGTGGTTCAGTGAGTAGGGCTCCAGCCTCATATATCAAGGGTGGCAGGTTCGAACCTGACCCTAGCCACACTGCAACAAAAAGATCGCTGGGCATTGTGGCAGGCACTTGTAGTCCCAACTACTCCGGAGGCTAAGGCAAGAGAATCACCTAAGCCCAAGAGCTGGAGGTTGCCATGAGCTGTGACGTAACAGGACTCTACAGAGGGCAACAAAGTAAAGACTCTGTCTCTAACAAAAAAAAAAGGCGGAGCCTGTGGCTCAAAGGAGTAAAGCGTTGGCCCCATATACCAGAGATGGTGGGTTCAAACTCAGCCCCAGTCAAAAAAAAAAAGAAAGAGGTAAAAGAGGGCGGCGCTGTGGCTCAAAGGAGTAGGGAACTGGCCCCATATGCCAGAGGTGGCAGGTTCAAACCCAGTCCCGGCCAAAAACTGCAAAAAAAAAAAAAAAGAGGTAAAAGAAATTCTGGGCCAGGCCTGGTGACTCACACCTGTAATCCTAGCAATCTGGAAGGCCAGAGCAGGTGGATTGCTTAAGCTCAAAAGTTCAAGATCAGGGCAGCACCTGTGGCTCAGTGAGTGGGGCGCCAACCCCATATACCCAGGGTGGTGGGTTCAAACGTGGCCCTGGCCAAACTGCAACAACAAAAAAAAATAGCTGGGTGTTGTGGCAGGCACCTGTAGCCCCAGCTACTTGAGAGGCTGAGACAAGAGAATCATTTAAGCCCAAGAGTTTGAGGTTGCTGTGAGCTGTGACACCACAACACTCTACCAAGAGCGACATAGTGAGACTCTGTCTCCAAAAAAAAAAAGGGTTCGAGATCAGCCTGAGCAAGAGCGAGATCCTGTCTCTATTAAAAATAGAAAAAAGAGGGCGGTGTTGGCACCTGTGGTTCAAAGGAGTAGGGCGCCCGTCCCATATGCTGGAGGTAGTGGGTTCAAACCCAGCCTTGGCACCTGTGGCTCAAGTGGCTAAGGCGCCAGCCACATACACCTAAGGTGGCGGGTTCGAATCCAGCCCAGGCCCACCAAACAACAATGATGGCTGCAACAAAAAAATAGCCAGGCGTTGTGGCTGGCGCCTGGGTCCCAGCTACTTGGGAGGCAGAGGCAGGAGACTCGCTTGAGCCCAGGAGTTGGAGGTTGCTGTGAGCTACGATGCCACAGCACTCTACCCAGGGGAATAGCTTGAGGCTCTGTCTCAAAAAGAAAAAGAAAGAAAGAAAAGAAAAGAAATACAATCTTATAGGCATTTGGCAATACTAGACACATTTGTTAACAATGTATTCCAGATTCACGGAAATAAAGAAAAAAAATAGAAAAAAATACTTGGGCATGTGGCAAGTGTCTGTTGTCCCAGCTACTCTGGAGGCTGAGGCAGAATTTCTTTTCTTTTTTTAAGACAGAGTCTCAAGCTGTCACCCTGGATAGAGTGCTGTGGCATCGAATCTCACAGCAATCTCAAACTCCTGGGCCCAAGCAATTCTCTTGCCTCAGCCTCCCAAGTAGCTGGATTTCAGGTGCCTGCCACAACACCCAGCTATTTTTTGACCGGGGCTGGATTCGAACCGGCCCACTCTGGTGTATGTGGCTGGCGCCTCAACCGCCTGAGCTACAGGCACCAAGCCGGCAGGAGGATTTCTTTCTTTCTTTTTTTTTTTTTTGCAGTTTTTGGCTGGGGCTGGGTTTAAACCCGCCACCTCTGGCATATGGGGCTGGCGTCCTACTCCTTTGAGCCATAGGTGCCACCCAGGAGGATTTCTTAAGCCTAGGACTTTGGAGTTGCTCTGAGCTGTGGCATCACAGCACTCTACCTTGGGCCACTGAGTGAGACTCTGCCTCAAAAAAAAGAAAGCAAAGGTAGTCTGGCTCTAGCTCCAAAAACTTTGCTTTTTTTTTTTTTTTTGGCCAGGGCCTGGGTTTGAACCTGCCACCTCTGGTATATGGGGCCGGCCCCTTACCCCTTTGAGCCACAGGCTCTGCCCCAGAACCTTTGCTTTTAGCCGTCATACTAAGACTAGGTCGTATCTTTCATATTGCCAGGTAAAATACAGGGCATGTAGTTAGGTCACAGTTTCAGATAAATAAATAATTTGTTAGCATAAGTATGTTCCTTGAAATATTTTGGTCATACTTTCATCAACAAATTATTCATTGTTTACTTGAAATTCTAATTTAACTATGTGTCCTATATTTTAGGGGGATGTTTGTTTGTTTGTTTGCCCAGGGCCTGGGTTTGAACCCACCACCTCTGGCATATGGAGCCGGCGCCCTACCCTTTTGAGCCACAGGTGCCACCCTTTTGTTTTGTTTTGTTTTTGAGACAGAGCCTCAAGCTGTCCCCCTGGGTAGAGTGCTGTGGCATCACAGCTCACAGCAACCTCCGACTCCTGGGCTCAAGCGATTCTCCTGCCTTGACTTCCCAAGTAGCTGGGACTACAGGAGCCTGACACAATGCCCGGCTATTTTTTGGTTGCAGCCGTCATTGTTTGGCTGGCCGGGCTGGATTCAAACCCGCCAGCTCAGGTGTATGTGGCTGGCGCCTTAGCCGCTTGGGCCACAGGTACTGAGTCTGTGTCTTGTATTTTTATTTACTTAATCTAGCACCGCTAATTTACAAGACATTTTGTCTGCCACATGCCATCCAAACATATCACCTCATTTAATTGTTCCCAGAAACCTGTGCTCAGATGTCTAGCATGTTCCCCTAACACAGCCTCTCCCGATGTTTCATTTAGAGAGCTAAAATGCCTAGCTAAGGTCACAGAACATAACAAGTGGCAGGGCTGGGGACTGAAGCCACATTCTCCAATTCTAATACATGCAGGGTTCCGCTTTAACAGGAGAGAAAAGTGAGAAGTGATTACACCACAGAAATGTGCCTTTATGATGTCTCCTCAGGCCTAGTTTGCAAGTTCCTCCTCCAGTGATGTAGGAAAACTGGGGAGGGCCTTCCAAGGTCGGGAAAGTGGCAGAGTGGGGCAGACAGCTCTGTGCCAAGTGACCTCTCTAGGGAGGCAGGGAAAGAGACTGTGTCCAGACCTGAGGGAGCTAAACATGAGGAAGGAGGACTGAGGCTCCCCAGGACTGTTCCCTACTGCTCTGCTGGGGTTTTATCACCTGCAGCTAAAACAGCCAGAGAGCCCTGGCTGCCAAAGGGCCACAGAAACTTGGGCCTAGGGAGCCTCATTCATCTGCCTGCTGCCTTTGGGGATAATACCCTTTGCATTTTTCGCTCCTGTCTCTGTTGATTTGCTCCCACCCCCAAATACCTGTGCCCTTTCTTCCCCAAGATATGAACACCTAGGCTGGCTAACTCTAACAAGGCAGTAGTCAGGGAGTTTCTGGGCTGGGACCCCCTCTGGGGTGCAGCTGGGGTGCCCTGCTGGTATGTGCCCCAACAGGTTTTTCTCTATCAGCTTTGAAATCAGCCAGGAGCCTGTCTGACCTGCCCCCCAGGGAACTGGAGCCAGAGGCAGAGCCAGGTCAGAAGCTGGACTTAGAGAGGAGGCTTCTGGGTCCCTCGCAGCCCCACAGGGAGAGCAGTGCACAAAGCTGCCTGTGTCTGTGGCTGAGCTGCTAAGAGGCTGAGTGGAATTCACTCCAGTGGGTTGACTTCCTGGGAGCAGAGATGCCAGGCAGGGAGGTGCTTATGTGTGTGACCCAGTACAGCCTGGTCTTCTCCCACGTCTGGGAGGGGCCAGAGTCAGAGACAACAGCTGGGCTGGTCTGCAAGAGAGGTCATCTGACTGGCTGCCCAGCCCGGGCCGTACACACCCCTTCTCTCTACCAGGCCACACAGGAGCCGGTGCCCACATAGGCAAGCTCCAGGCATAAAGACGACACCTGCCTCACCTCTAGCACCTTTGGGTAAGCACTGAGCCTGGGTCCTCATGTTGGGGAGAACTGTTGATTGCTTGGGGGAGGAAAGAATGTGTTTTCTTCTAATATGAAGGTGCCTCCTCTCTGGGCCAGGCGCCCATGAACCTGCAAGGACACTATTCACATCAGCTCAGAGACTGCACCTTCTGTCCTAAAGATTCTGGCCTGAGACAATGAGAGTGACAGGCAAAAAGCAGGTAGATAGCTTTATAGGCAAGGACTAGGGGCTTGCTTGTAGGTTGGGGCTGCATGTGGGGAAGATGGTATTTGGAGTTGTCTCGTATTCCACATACTTACTCCTGCCACCTCACTTCAGTGTTCTACATGGCTCCAGGAGCCTCCACCCAGGCCATGGGAGGAAGGGACATCCACTTCAGATCAAGGACTGAGGAGATTCGGCACCATGGTGCTTGTTCTAGGAGCACCCCTCATCAATCCTTGCTTCTTTTTTTTGAGACAGAGCCTCAAGCTTTCATCCTGGGTAGAGTGCCGTGTCTACACAGCTCACAGCAACCTCCAGCTCCTGGGCTTAAGCGATTCTCTTGCCTCAGCCTCCCAAGTAGCTAGGATTACACACACCCACCGTTGGCCCAGCTATTTTTTGGTTGTAGTTGTCATAGTTGTTTGACAGGCCTGGGCTAGATTCAAACCCTCCAGCTCTGGTGTATGTAGCTTGTGCCTGAGCGGCTTGAGCTACAGCGCAGAGCTGATCCTTGCTTCTTAAAGGAGACTGTGAGAGGTGCAAAAGGTGGAAGCTTCCTTTTACCCCTCCACTTCAGCTCCATTCTGGCTCCCAAACCTGCTAAGTGGGTTGATCTTTTTCTGAAACAAAAGGAAGGAATAGGAAATGAGAGCCCAGACTCTGGGGTTCATAAAGAGGCCCAGAAGGGCTGGGAAATTGGGCTCTGTTAACTCCTGTGTCCTTCCCCAGGCCAGTCAGCCGCACCATGTCTGTGAGTACCATGAAGACAGCACCATCCCTCATCCAAGAGATCCTCAGCTACCTGGGCCTTGCCAACAAGGTAGAAGCTATTGGGATTGTAGTTTTTAATGCATTGACTCAGGGGCTGGGAGAGGTTAGAAGAATAGGCAACTGGAGGACAGGCCCTGAGCTATACCAAGGACTCCGCTGGGGGCACTGAGGACTGTGGCCCTCCTGATCACCCTGAACTCTTACAGACTGCAGCTTGGGGGACCCTGGGAACCCTAAGGACATTCTTGAGCTTCACTGTGGACAAGGATGTACAGAGGCTGCTGAGGGCCATTACAGGCCAAGGTAAGCCCCTACCCTTCTGCACCTGGAAATCTACCTTTATTTATTTATTTATTTATTTATTTATTTATTTTGAGACGGAGCCTCAAGCTACACCCCTGGTAGAGTGCCATGGCATCACGCTCATAGCAACCTCCAACTCCTGGGCTCAAGAGAGTCTCCTGCCTCAGCCTCCCAAGTAGCTGGGACTACAGGCGCCCGCCACAACACCTGGCCATTTTTTGGTTGCAGCCATCATTGTTGTTTGGCGGGCCCGGGCTGGGGATTTGAACCCGCCACCTTAGGTGTATGTGGCTGGCCCCTTAGCCGCTTGAGCCACAGGCGCCGAGCCAACCTTTTTTTTTTGAGACAGAGTCTCACTTGTCACCCTCAGTAGAGTGCTGTAGTTTCATACCTCACAGCAACCTCAAACTCTTGGGCTCAAGCGATTCTCTTGCCTCAGCCTCCCAAGTAGCTAGGACTACAGACACCCACCATGCTCAACTATTTTTAGAGACGAGGTCTCACTCTGGCACAGGCTGGTCTTGAACCTGTGAGCTCAGGCAATCCACCCACCTTGGCCTCCCAGAGTGATTACAGGTGTCTACCTTTTAGAAGAAGGAGCCAGGAAAGAGGAAGTAATGGTGGTCAGGAAATGTGTGTGGAATGCCTTAGCTCTTGTATGTCAAGTGCCATGGTAGGTGTGTCACTCCCATTCTCACAACACCCCTGTGAGGTAAGGCTTATTATTTCCATCCTACAGATGTGGAAACTGGGGCTCAGGAAGGGTAAGAGCCTTGCCCAAGGTCACACAGCTCATAATGGCAGAGCCAGGACTCTAATCTAGGTCAGCTAATCCCCCCAAATCATTTTTTGACCATCACACCAGAACAACCTTGCCTAAATTTGGGTCGTATTTGCATGCTATCTTAATACTTTATTTGTACTTTCTTTTGAGATCAAATAATAGTGGGGGTGATACAGCCCCTGCTCCTTTCCTTCCCAGCCCTTTTCTAGTCCTTGTTCTTTGCTCCAAGAAGTAGGGGGATCCCTTTTCTACAAAGACCCTGTTTACAGCTCAGCCTTAATCTTGGTTCAGGCGTGGACAGTAACGCCATTGTGGCCGTGCTGACCAATCGGAGCAGAGAGCAAAGGCAGCTTATCTCTAGAGCCTTTCAGGAGCGCACCCAACAGGTAAGACCACTCTCACCTCCCAGGAGCAGTGGGCTGGGGTGCCTGAGGACCCAGGGTACAGCAACAGCAGCAGAGGCCAGCCTCTGCTTCCCAGCTAAACAAGGGGCTGTGCTTCAGGCCTGAGATGAAATCCAGCCAAATCTTCCCAAATGTCCCCACACTTCCAGGGCCCTCCCCCTGCTCCTCATGCCTCTACTGTGGGGACCATTTATTATAGGACCTGCTGAAGTCCCTCCGAGCAGCGCTGTCTGGCAACCTGGAGAAGATCGTGGTGGGTCTGCTGCAGCCCATGGCCCAATTCGATGCCCAGGAATTGAGGACAGCCTTGAAGGTGCCGGAGAGGAGATTTGCTGGGGTGTCTGTGAATTGAGGATGCCACTGAGGGAAAGAGAAGGCTGACTGCCTTGCCTTTGCCTACGGCAGAGGGGTGGACTTGGAAGAGGGCCCCGTCTAATCACCCCGTATTGACTCTTAGAGGAAGTGGCCAGTGTCTGCTCTCTGCCATTCGGTCTGCCCCCCTAATGACATAGCCCATTCTCAGAGTGTCCTTTCAATTTATTACAGGCCTCAGATTCTGCTAAAGATGTGGCCATAGAAATTCTTGCCACCCGAGCCCCACCTCGGCTACAGGAGTGCCTGACAGTATATAAACACGGTAAGATTATGGAGGGTGGGGCTGGGAAGGGTGACTCATACCTGTAATCCCAGCACTCTGGGAGATAGAAGCAGAAGGATTGCTTGAGGCCAGGAGTTTGATATCAGCCTGAGCAAGAGCCAGACTCTGCAAAAAATAGAAAAATTAGGCCTGGCGTCTATGGCTCAAGCGACTAAGGTGCCAGCCACATATACCTGAGCTGGTGGGTTCAAATCCAGCCCAGGCCTGCCAAACAACAATGATGGGTGCAACCAAAAAATAGCCGGGCGTTGTGGCAGGCACCTGTAGTCCCAGCTACTTAGGAGGCTGAGGCAAGAGAATCGCTCAAGCCCAGGAGTTGGAGGTTGCTATGAGCTGTGATGTCACAGCACTCTACCCAGGGCGACAGCTTGAGGTTCTGTCTCAAAAATAAATTAATTCATTCATTAACCAAGCATTGTGGCCAGCACCTGTAGTCCCAACTACTTGGGAGGCTGAGGAGGATCACTTGAGCCCAAAAGTTTGAGGTTGCAGTGAGCTATAACACTACTGCACTCTAGCCAAGGTAACAGGGCAACACCCTGTTTCAAAAAATAATGGAAAAAATGAAAAGAATAATATGGAGGGAAGGAGTCCAAGATCTGAAGAAGGTTCTGTAGGACAATTAACTCCTCTCCTGCACTCCATACTGCAAGCCACCTGGGAACCTGGCTGCCTGAGTTCTGTCCCCGTGGGGTCACTCCTCCATCCCCTGCCAGTGCCTCCATGTCTCTATTGGAGAGAGCCGGGTCTGACTGGGTTTTTCATTTTGTTTAGTTTAGTTTTGTTTTTTGAGATAGAGTCTTTACTTTGTCGCCCCTGTAGAGTGCCGTGACACATAGCTCACAGCAACGTCAAACTTTTGAGCTCAAACAATTCTTTTGTCTTGGCTCGGTGCCTGTGGCTCAAATGGCTAAGGCGCCAGCCACATACCCCTAAGGTGGCGGCTTCGGATCCAGCCCGGGCCCACCAAACAACAATGACGGCTGCAACCAAAAAATAGCCAGGCATTATGGTGGGCGCCTGTGGTCCCAGCTACTTGGGAGGCTGAGGCAGGAGACTCGCTTGAGCCCAGGGGTTGGAGGTTGCTGTGAGCTGTGATGCCAC